CATGTGCTTATTGACTCTATATAGCTTCTTTGTTTTTTGTTTTTTTTATTAAAGATTTTATTTATTTATTTGACAGAGAGAGAGCGAGCGAGAGCAGGAACACAAGCAGGGGGAGTGGGAGAGGGAGAAGCAGGCTTCCTGCCGAGCAGGGAGCCCGATGTGGGTGGGACTCGATCCCAGGACCCTGGGATCATGACCTGAGCCGAAGGCAGACGCTTAACGACTGAACCACCCAGGCGCCCTATAGCTTCTTTGAAGAAATGTTTGTTTATTCAAGTCCTTTGCTCATTTTTACATTGGGTGGTTTGTTTTTTGTTGTTGAGTTATAGGAGTTCTTTGTATATTCTGGATATTAGACCCTTACCAGATATATGTATCTACAGATATTTTCTCCTGTAGACTGTATGTTCACTCTCTTAATAGTATGTTTTGATAGACAAAAATTTTTAATTTTGATGAAGTTTAGTTTATCTATTTTTACATTTATTGCCTTTGTTTTTGGTGTCCTATCCAAGAAGTCATTGCTGAATCCAATATTATGAAGATTTTTTTCCTGTTTTCTTCTAAGAAAAATTTTAGGTCTTATGTTTAGGTTTTTGCTACATTTTGAGTTAAGGTGTTTTTTAATGGTGTAAGGTAAAGGTCCAACTTCATTCTTTTGCATGTGGTTATCAGTTTTCTCAGCACCATTTGTTGGAAAGACTGTCCTTTTCCCATTGGATGGCCATGGTACCTCGTGGAAATCTCCTGAAAGGGTATGGATGCTTACCACGGTTTGTGGTATGTGTGTGGCTTCTAAAACTACTGTACCCATTTGTAGTTGGCATTGTTAAGTACATGAACTACACTGGGTATTAACAAAACAAAAGTTGTCATAGACAAACATGATTCCCTTTTGTATTCACTCATTCGTTCAACAAATCTTTGTGTTCCATCTATACGCCAGGCCCTGCTAAGATCCTGGGGATCCACTAGTGAGTAGAACCAGAGCTTCTGTCCTCAGAGATCTTCCCTTAAGTGGGTGAGACAAAGAAGAAACAAATGGACACATGGACATGTCCAGTGGTTGAAATGCTATGGAGAAGACTTAAAGAGGTGATGGGCACAGATGTCTGGGCTAGGGTAGAGGGATTCAGGGAAGGAAGGAAGGTGTATCTCTCAGTATCACCTGAATGGCGACTGAAGGAGCAGAGGGGTGAAGCATTCAGGGAAGGAAGGAAGGTGTATCTCTCAGTGTCACCTCAATGGCGACTGAAGGAGCAGAGGGGTGAGCCAAGGGGCAGCTGAGAGGAGAGCAGTCCAGGCACAGTCTTGAGATGGACAGAGGGTGCTTGAGCCCTTGTGGCTGGAGATGCAGAGGGGAAGGCAGACTCCCATCCTGTCCTCTGAGTGAGGGTTGAGTGATCCATGTTCTGATTTGGTCGCTCTGGCTGCTGTGGAGGTGCATTGCGGGAGGGCTGGGATGGAGGCAGGGGGGCTGGAGGGGCTCTGATGGTATCCCAGCAAGAGAAGGTGGTGGCTTGGGTCAGAGTGGGAGCTGGGGCTGGGGGAAGGACTTGATTCTGGGTGTGTTTTGAGGGGAGAGTGGACAGGATGCACTAAGGGATTGGATGGGGGGAGGTGGGAAACGATTCAGGATTTCTGACTTGAGCAGATGGAGGGGTGGAGTAGCTCTTCACATAGAGCTGTGGAAAAAACAGGGAACAGCTAGACTCTGGTATGCTAATTCAAGTTGTAACTTGCTTTTCTTTAAATGCAAGTCTACTTCGGCATTTTTCTCGTTTGTTCTCTGTTTATACTGGATCAGAGTATTTGTAAATTTAACATTTACACGGAATGGCATGGAACAAGGAATCCATGCTCCTCCAGAAACAGGGCTCCCAGCCTTGTCAAACCACGAAGACACCCGGCCCTTAGAGCAGGAGCCAAGGTAGTCAGAGTGCTGGGAGTACAGCTGCTTCCAGGAGTTTTTTTCCAGGATGTCCTGGAAAAGCTCTGGGTTTGTGGTCAAAGTGCCTGTCAGTTAGGCTGCCCAGGCCTGGTGTTTGGCCTTAGAAAGGAGGGTGGTTGACACAGGTCTCTGCAGAGAGCTGGCTTTGAGTGAACTGCACAGGGGATAGAAGCCAGCCAGGTGTGCCTGGAGCTGTCACGCGTTCTCAGTTTGTGTGGCAGTTGTGATTCCAGATATGCTGTTTTGGTGTCCTCATTGTCAAAAAGGGAACCAAAACCTTCACAGGCACTTCTTAACAAGGGGGGTGGAAGGTATGTCGCATCTATAAACCTAAAGTTAGCAGGTGACATCGGATGTCAGGTGTGTGGGGCGGGTAGCGCATAGCTCTGCAGCCTGCTGACTCCAGGGTTTCCTGTGAACACCTAGGTGATTTGAGCTCCATGCAGGATGACATCCGGTGACAGACCCCCTTCAGTCTCTAACGTTTCCAGTGTGTCCTTTCTTCCTTGACTACTAGACCTGAGGACAGAGATGCGTGTGGTGGGAAAACTGGCCTGATGGACATGGTGGGCCCTTTGGGGAGGAAGCAGTCCTCCTGTCCCTCTTCCTGCAGGCCTCTGACCTAACTCCACGGAGAGGGGTGGGCCTGTGTGATTGGCAGCTGGCCCCTCCTGTCAGGTTCGAAGGGCTGTCCCCAGCCTGGAGCCGGGCCCTTGGGGGGTGCTGAATATCCCCGGCGGCGTGGTGCGTGGTTCGCAGAGTGGTTCGGTCCTGAAGCCCTCCGTGCAAAGCCCCAGCTGTGGGTGCCGAGAGCAGGCCTGGCTGTTGTGCCTCGCCTAAGAGCCGGAGAAGCTGTGTGTGGAATGTGGTCTTGGGATTTTCTCCCCAGTAACAGAATTTAGAGAATTTTCTGTGGTTTAAAGCAAACTCTTCCAGCTCTTATCCTGTGAACATTTTTGAACAGAGTAGAAAAGTTGAGAGAATAGAGTCACACCCACATACACACCTCTTGATTGAATAGCTAATGTCTTATCGTATCTGCTTTGTCTCCGTGTGTGTATATATATACATATATATATTTTTAAAAATTTTTCTCTGACCCATTTGAAAGTACGTTGCAGTCATTATGAAACTTCAACTCTAAATATTTTAGTTTGTATCCGAGCATAACAACAGCTTGGTTTTGTTGTTCGGTTTTGGCCTGGCCATGGGGTTTGTGGCAAGGTCTGAGGCGTTCAGGGACCAGCAGCATAGACAATAGGCCTCAGTCAGGAGCAGCTGGGCCCGCATCCACGCTCACTCCCTGCATTAGCACTGTTTTCTTATTTCCAGCCTTAGTTTAGAACCTTAAAAATGTATGGTGCAGGGCGCCTGGGTGGCTCAGTTGGTTAAGCGACTGCCTTCGGCTCAGGTCATGATCCCAGGGTCCTGGGATCGAGTCCCGCATCGGGCTCCCCGCTCTGCGGGGAGCCTGCTTCTCCCTCTCCCACTCCCCCTGCTTGTGTTCCCTCTCTCGCTGTGTCTCTCTCTGTCAAATAAATAAATAAATAAAATCTTTAAAAAAAAAAAAAATGTATGGTGCAGCATTCCAGTTTGTGAAAAGGAATGAGGACAGATAAGCCTGTGCCCACACATCACCCCGTGTCCTTGCTCCTGCCCACCTGCCGGAGCCCCACTGGCCGGCACTCGGCATGCCCCTCTGTGCTGTGGTGTCTGTGACCACCCTGGACAGTATTGAACATGGTCTGCACTTTTTACAACTTTATATAATTATTATAGCTTTTATTTTTCTTCTCTGTAAACAGGCTGCTATTAACTTCTTCATAAGGTTGTTAAACGAGAAGGATATATGTGTAAATACCTCGTCCCATGCTGGCAGGGAGTAGAGATTCAGTACATACAGGCACACCTCATTTTATTGCAGTTTGCTTTATTGCGCTTCAAAGATAATTGCGTTCTTTTTACAAATAGGTTGGTGGCAGCCCTGCGTCCAGCAGGTCTGTCAGTGCCATTTTTCCAACAGTGTATGCTCACTTTGTGCCCCTGTGTCATATTTTGGTAATGCTTGCAATATTTCAAACATTTTCATTATTATATTTGTTACGGTGATCTGTGATCAGTGACTGCAACTTGCTGAAAGCTCAGATGATGGCTAACATTTTTTTTTTTTTTTTTTTAGATTTTATTTATTTATTTGAGAGAGAGAAAGAGAGAGAGCAGGAGAGGGGGGAGGGTCAGAGGGAGAAGCAGACTCCCTGCCGAGCAGGGAGCCCGATGTGAGACTCGATCCCGGGACTCCAGGATCATGACCTGAGCCGAAGGCAGTCGCTTAACCAACTGAGCCACCCAGGCGCCCCGATGGCTAACATTTTTTAGCAATATTTTTTAATTACATACATTGCTTTTTTTTTTTTTAAGATTTTATTTATGTATTTGAGAGAGAGCACGAGCCAGGAGGGGTAGAGGCAGAGGGAGAGGGAGAAGCAGACTCCCCACTGAGCAGGGAGCCCGCTGTGGGGCTCAGTCCCACGATCCCAAGATCATGACCTGAGCTGAAGGTGGATGCTTAACCCACTGAGCCATCTGGGCACCCCATGTACATTGGTTTTTTAGACATAATGCTATTGCATATTTAATATACTAATATGTAGCATAGCGTAAACATAACTTTTATATGCACTGGGAAATCAAAAAATTCATTTGATTTGCTTTATTTTGATATCTGCTTTGTTGCAGTAGGCTGGAACCAAACCTGCAGTATCTCTGAGGTATGTCTAGACTGTTTTACTTCTTACCTAATAGGTGTTGAGGAAACGTGGATGTTGAAGTGCGCAGTCAAGTTGGCAGGGAAGTCGATCACCTCACCCGCTCACGTACAGTTTACACCCCAGCTCTGTCTTCAGAGAATCTTGGGCTCATTCAAGGGCAGAAGGGTGTATCGGGCTTCGGGGCCCCTACCTGGGAGGAACTGTGGCAGCCACTCCCCTAGGTCGCTCAGCCCAGCCAGGCCCCCCTTCTCCATCCTGCGCCTCTTCCCTGCCTCCCCCAGCCCAGGGACAGCTCTGCCTGTACCTCAGCACTTGGGAACTACCTGCCTCTGAGGCTTTGAGCAGCAGTGTGTGGAAGAGCCCAGGACTCTGCCCAAAGAAGATGAGAAAAAGACAAAGCTGAGCTCTGGGGCTGGAAGGAGTCCAGGGTGGCTGACGCAGACACCTTCAGGGCCCTGTGGGGCACTTTCTGCTAGGCTGTTCTGCCACCAGTCACTTTCCTTTATCATGCTGCAGACTGCCCCTCCTCTGGGCCCCCTCTTCCAGGAGCTGCTGGTGGGACTGCTAAGAAACATCTGCGCATTTGAGGGGGCTGTTTGGCAGGGCTGGGAGAAGCTTTCAGAGGAAGAGATCTCCTGAGGCCGCGTCATGCTTGTCCTGGCTCTTTGTCCAGACTTTTGCGAGGGTGCTAACTTGCCCATGGCTTCTTGCGCCAGCCGTGAGACCAGCCATTACTGGTCTTCCTCAGGAGGCCTCTCCTGGCCCCCAGGGAATGAGAAGTAGCAGACTGCACCTGCCACGCCTGCCCCACTGTTACCTTCATCCCCCGGCACAGCAGCGCATGAAATTCACTCAGCATGGAGCTGCAGGGGCTTGACGGACCGGGGACGCCTGTCCGCAGGTGCCGGTGGCCGAGTGGCTTGGGGCCTGCAGAGCCTTGAAGTGGCACTAGGTGGCACTCTCACACAGGGGAGTCCCAGCAAGGTGGGAGGACCCAGTGTGGCTGGAAGGGACCTCATTCAGGGTGGGAACCTAAACTTACCAAAGGATTTTTGTTTTTCCCAGAAATCGTTTTTAACTATTGTCTGGAATCTAGAAGGCATTTCCTTACCGAAACATACGTGGTGGAAGTCAGACTAGAAGGCTGATCTCAGGACAGACCTGTGGGCTGGCTTACAAGTTTTCTAAACACCAGTCTGCCCGAGAGGCTTACAGTGGTTAAAAAGGGACTCCGGTAGACGTGGGGTGGCCTGTTGCTCATTTTACAGGGAGAGCATTGGTGTTCCAAAGGCTGCTTAGCAAATGAGAACCTGGGCTTTTGTCTTCCTCCCCCCGAGTGTAACTTGGACTAGGCCTGGTCTGGAAGTGCCGGCAGCTTTGGGGGAAGTCAGAATGGTCCTCCAGGATCTTTCTGGTTCTGGAATTTAGTGTTGCCAGGATTCTGTGTTATCTTCCTGTGCTTTAACTCCTTTTTATCCCGTCTTTACGGTGTGTTTGCTTGGAGCTCTGGGGTGAGAAGGGGTCTTAAGCCTCACTGAGGCTCAGAGAATGCTGTGGGCCCAGACTAGGAAACTGCGAGGTGCAGCCCATGTTGGGTATTCACCAGCCGTGTGCTGGAACCTAAGTCCCAGGGGGGCTCCCTGCTTCCGTGTTCCTCCTGTGCATTGTGGGTGTCCCAATATTATGGAAGTCCATGAGGAGGGACCCTGTCTTCTGGCCTTCTCCCCGCTGCAGCATCCCAGGTCTGTAGCTTGTCACAGAGCACTTGCTGGGATGGACCCAGATGAGGACAGGTGCACGAATTCCTCCCACCCCCCTCGAGGCCAGAAGGGACTTTTTCCTTACTGTGTCTGGTTCCCTGGCCTGGCCAGATTTTGTGTGGCAGGGGTTTTGTATGGTAGGGGTGTCTGCCTGGAGGAGAGGGGGCGGGGGTGGGACTGGGGGCAGCTTGTACCTTCAGGATGGCAAAGAGCCAGGACTTAGATACTGTGTGTGTGCTTCAAGGGCTAGAAAAGGTGCCTGGAGGTGGCTTTCTGCTCAGTCCCAGGAAGCTGGCCCTGGGTGAGGTCAGCCGCATGTGGAGGCCTGGGACTATTTACCTGGGTCGGGGTGGGCAGGGAGGACGGTCCCGGCCCAAGAGGTGTTGCCAGGAAATCCCGTGACCGGCGGGGGCTGGTCCCTGGGCCGCAGCCCCTCCTCTTAAAGGGGCCCTGGGCACGGTGGCTGGGCCTGGCTGGAGGGAGGAGCCGTCTGTCTGCCGGTGTCCGGTATCCGCCCTTTGCCCCCGCCCCCAGGCGGTCTGAGTGGCCAAAGCCGAGTCCCCGCCCGCCGAGGCTTCCTCCCCGGAGCGGTGCCTCCCTGAGAGTCGGTGCCTGAAGCCCAACGGAACGGGACCACCTGCGGGTGAGTGAGCCAGTGAGCGCCCGGAGCCCGGAACGGGCGTCCTGGGTGCCCGTCGCCCCTTGGAACTGCGGGACCCTGGGCCGGAGAGCCCACCCCACAGTCTCCATCCCATTGTGGGCTTCTCCTGCCCCACATGGTGGGTCACGGGCCGCTCCGGATGAGCTCATTTCCGCCGCGTCGGGTAGCATCTCCTGGCCCTCCAGCCGAAAGGGGAAATGCTGGGCTTGGGCTCCGTGTCCCCTCCTGCACCGGAGCTCCGGGTGATTGCCTCAGTGCTGCCCACGGGGCCTGACTGGCGCCAGTCAGGGAGGGAAGCGGCCCTGTTCCTGGGTGGGACCGGAGGTGTTCCCAGTTCCTCACCCGAGGGTCGGAATGGGGGTGACACGCTGCCCTTCGCAGAGCCCCATCCCGGAGAGAAGATTCCTTTCTTTGGGAGATTTAAGGAAGCCCAGTGCTGTGGGGAGTACCTTCCCCCGCCCTTCCCTGGCCACCGGCTTTAAAGAAGCTTCTCTGGGCCCTTCTGCTTCCTCTTCTCTTGCCCAAAGCTTCCCCAAGATGGCTCGCCCATTTCACCTGGCGAGAATCCATTTTCCCTGTTTCCTCTTCCTGAAGTCTTATCTGCTTCTAGCCCTGGAACACAGGGAGGAAGGGTTGGTGGCCCCCCTGGACACAGCTTCAGGTGAGCTGGGGGAGAAGTGGGCTCAGAAAGTCAGGCAGGGGGGGTGCCTGGGTGGCTCAGTTGGTTAAACCTTTGCCTTCCGCCCTGGTCATGATCCCGGGGTCCTGGGATCAAGCCTCACGTTGGGCTCCCTACTTAGCCGGGAGCCTGCTTCTCCCTCTCCCTCTGTCCGCACCCACCCTCCCAAACTCCTGCTCTCTCTGTGTCTCTGTCTCTCAAATAAAGAAATAAAATCTTAAAAAAAAAATAAATAAAAGGAAAGGTAGGTAGACCTAGGACTTGGGGACTCTGAGGCTTTCTGCTGAGGCTTCAGGAGTGACACTGGCACCCAGTGAGAGTTCCGCTCAGGGGGCAGGAGCATATTTCTCAGTGTCTCTGGTGGGACCTGTGCCTGGCTGTGCCTGGCTGCAAGGCCCTTGGTGCTCAGGGAGTGCTTGTTGGGGGCAGACAGTCCCGACTCTGTCCCTGCCTTCCTGGCCTTGCCCGACTCAAACCTGAATCCACCAGAGTCCAAGGGAACCAGGCAGGAGCCTGCCTCCCGCCAGCCCCCACCCCCACACCTCTAGCAACCGGTAACTGGCCTGGGGCCTGGGTCCATCCATCTGACTTCAGTTGGAATGTTCCATTCCACTGAGGGGGTAGTGTTGCCTTCATCACAGGCTGTGAGGGTAGATGGGGACATTGAGCACTGCTCGGGTGTGAACCCCCAGAACAGGACATCTAGACAAAGGTGACCCCCCCCACCTGGTCCTGTTGGGCCACTGCTCCTGCTCAGAAGGGCAGCCACTGCCCCCGTGGTTTGGGCTCTTTCAGAACTGCTGCCTCTACCCTGTTCCTTCTATCTTGCCAGTGGGAGCAAACCTCCGTCCTCCCAGAGTGTGGGTTTGGAAACGGAGGTGAAGTGCTGGGAGTCAGGTCCAGGATGAGGATGCACCAAGGTCTAGGGTGGAAGTGAGGCGTGGTGTCTCTGAACAGAGTAGAGTTCTGGGCCAGGGTCACTGCTATGATCTGAGCCTCGAGGGAGTGAGCAGGAGTGGCCCTTCCCATTTTCCAGATGAGGAAACATAGCTACAGAGTACCTGTGACTTGCAAGGCCCCTCCCAGCTCTCAGGGCCGGCAGGGCAGCCAGGACTGCAGTAACTGGATTGTCCCCTCCCCTACCAAAGCCTCTGAGCTCTCCTGTGCATTGTGGATGGCCTTTAGGCCTTGTGATAACTTTAAACTCCTACTGGTCACAGCTCACAACTCTTCTTCACAGAGTGTTCTTGAGACTGGGGAGAGAGGGAAGGTGTCTGTACTTCCTCAACTCAGGGTACCCTCCTTGCAGTTTCCTCATCTGGGCCTGAGCCCCTAGTCCCACTCCGGGGAGCTAGAGAGCGAGCATTGACTTGGGCTCCAAGGGTCATCACAGGTGTGGGGGCAAGTGGGGCACTGAAATGGGGAGGGCGGGAGCACTGTTGGCCTAGGAAGTGGCTCAGCCTTTGGGAAGCATGAATGACCCTTAGGGACCCCCTTCCCTCCATCCTGCAGCTTTGAGCTGGACAGAGGGTGCCAGGCCTGTTTCCTGGGGGACAGATGAATTCATTTCTGCTCCCTGGGGACCTTCTAGGGCCCATGCATGGTGATTTGGAAGAAGCCTGACAGTCTGGTCACTGTCCCATTTCCAAAGAGGAAGAGTGGTGATGGAGACAGGACTGAGGGCTAAGGACATCCTGCCAGCCCTTTGGGGCAGTTTCTAGAGTCTCTAGGATAGCAGCAACTTGGGCCAGCCTCCTTGAACACCCCTGCACTGCAGGAGGAAGGGTGAGGGCCCACCCTGCCCTAGCCAAGTCCCTGGACTGGACGCCCTGGGGTGAATGAAATGGGAGAGGCATGCACAGAAATCTACTTTGAGGACTGGAGGTTTCGGGCCAAGCTCAGTTTGTGTACGGGCTCCGGCAGGTATCTTTCTGGCAGTGTGCTGCGGGGGCCGCTGCCCCGGGTGGTAGGCTAGTGAGGAAGATGGGCAAGAGGAGACGCGGGCTCCTGTCCTCTCCCACAGGGCCTCATTGGCCTCACTGTGAGTCCCAAGTGTGCACTCAGTCCGAGCTCTCTAGAGTGGGGGAAAGAGTGCTTGGGAGCCAAGCGCCGTGCCCGACCCTGCCTGCCTGTCACACCTTGGGGCCTGTTTCCCTGGGGAGCTGACAGGGGGCCAGTGTGGGGCCCCGTGGCCTGGTGGGCCTTGGAGGGGCGGGGTGTGGGCTCAGTACGTGGGCGGTATAGTTGAGGTGACCCGACCAGGTCGGGATGGGATGTCATGGATGGGAAAGTTAGGAGGCTTAGCATGGGTGGGAGATAGACACGGGGGTGTCCATGGGTCCCTGGGCCTGGCCCTTGGGACGGAGGAGGCTTGTGTCCATATGTGCTTCTGGGTGAGGCTGGGTGGTGGGCACCGTCCCGCCTGGCTCACCCCCAGTGAGCTGTCCTGCCACTCAGGCGAGTGGCCTGGGGAGCTGATCTCTGCCGGAGGGGTCTGGGCCCGGGGTGGCCCAGGCCTAGCCACTTGGTCGGGGCTGGAAATCCATGCTTACTTCAGACCTTAGTCTTGGCTCTCACTGTACTCCCAGGGATTTGACTCTCCAGGGGCTAGCATTTTCACCTCTGGCTGAGGTGACTTTGCCAGGGCGACATTTCACCCTTGTGTGGGTGGAGCCGTGTCCGAGTGGAGCCTCTCGCTCTTGTCAGTCGGTTGGCTGTGTGGGGGGTCAGCATTGGCCTGGGACTGTGTCCGCGGCTGGGTCAGTTCTCTGCCTTGGGAGCTTCTCTTGGGGCCCGAATCTCTGCATCTAAAGATGGTGGCAAGGCACCTGTCTATCCCCTGTAGCCTACGGTTGGGATTGGAGGCCAGGCTGAGGGGGGCCTTGACTATCCCTGGGCTTAGACAGCAACAACCGTGGAGTGTTTGTTCTCCTTCCCTGTTATCTGTGAGGGCCTTGTGGAGGCCGGGCGTATCCTCCCGTCCCAGATTGCCAGGCAGGGCCAAAGTGCTGTCCAAAGCAAAGATGGGGGGGTGCACACTGGTTTGGGCTTCAGTCCTGGTTGGTTTTCCCTCAGGTCAGGTCACGTGTGTGCTCGTCTGCTGAGGAGGCCTTGTGGGGGTTGGTACGGGGGTGGGAGGCTCTGAGGCCCCGGGGGGCAGTAAGGAGAGAGCTGGAGCAGGTCAGATGTCCAGCGTCTCACCCTCTGTGCCTCTCCTGCCTTCCTGCTCTCTCATTCCTCAGATGCTACTTCGGCACCTGAATGGAAAGTGGGTCAGGGAGGGAGGGGCTGCCCGAGCCACAGACCGGCCGACGCTGGGCTCCCGCCTGGAGCACAGGACTCAGGTTCCCACTTGTGCTTCTTGGGCTTGTAGGCGCCTGGCCCCTTCCCTGCCATCAGTTCACTGGAGCAGGCCGGTGGCCAAGCCCGGGGACAGAGCGGGCGGAGGGCAGGGGCTTGTGTCCCAGGCGGCAGGCCCCCCTGCCGCTTCCCGAGCAGGTGTGACCAGTGCCTGTCTTTGCAATAGCCCTGACCTCTAACCTGCGCCCCGTGAGCCGGCGGGACCCAGGCACGCCGGGAAGCGGCCCACCAGCCACCAGGCGGCCAGCCCGAGGAGTGGTGACAGCGCAGGAGCTTCTGGCTTGGGGGGAAGGGAGGAAGGAGGAGAAACAAAGGCGAGTGTGCCTGGTGCCGCCCACCATGTGTCAGTCAGAGGCACGGCAAGGACCTGAGCTCCGAGCGGCGGCGAAATGGTGAGATGCTGCCGCCCCCGTCCTAACCCCACTGTGCCCCGCCACGACCTCCGGAAGGTCAGAGTTCACGTCCAGCAGCCCCGCAGTGGAGGTGGCGGCAGGGGGCCAGGGGATCAGCCCCCGAGGCTGGAGGGGCCCGGCCCAGGGGGCCTGAGTCGGAGAGCCCGCTTCAGGTACCTGGGGAGGCGGAGCGGGCTGGTAGCCTTCTGTCTGCTGCATCCTAATTGCTGTTCCCAGGCCCCCACCCCGGGCTTCCCCCCGCCCTCCGCTCCGGGAGAGGTGCCGCTCTTCTGGGATTGGTCCCTGGGTTTCTGCAGTGATCAGGGCGGGTGGGGGAAGCCCTGGGGACAGCAGGGATTTGTTCAGCTTTGCTTGGCCCATACCCCCTTCCCGGACCTTTTGAAAACACGGTGGGGTAGGGTGGGAGAGAAGGAAGACAGGGAGCCTGGTGAGCTGTGGAAAGAAGCGTCTTCCATTGCAGTCATCGAACAGCAGGTGCCCAACCATCAGCTTGGTTCTCCCGTTTTTTCTTTTTAGTATCAGCTGAGATGCTTCTTTGTTCCTTGGTTTTGTTCAGCAACCTAAGGCAGAGGACATGGCTTCTCTGAGAGCACAGAGGCGCAGATGGGAGCCTTAGATTATCCAGTTGAATGCAGTCTTTTTGCAGATGAGGAAACTGAGGCCTGGGAACCTTCTCAGTGTGGGTGGGAATATGGTCTCCTGGTGGCTGCACTGGGCCTCAGGAGCATTTCCTAGTGCCTAGGCATGGGACCAGGGGACTTGGATGTCACTGTTGTATCTCGGGAGGCCACGGTTTTGGTGGAAAGGCCCACCCAGCCTCTGAGATCCCCACGAGGCTGAGCCTGTGCTGAATGCACTGAATTTGGGCTGGTGGGGTCTGGGGAGAGAAAAGAGGAGCCTGGCTCAGGTGTGTGACCCCAGCAGACCTGGGAGGTGGTCTGAGGGCTGGTGGGGAGGTTCCTCCCTCCAATCTCTGGGTCTCTTTTGGAGAACCTGATCTGATGTAGAAAGACCAGGCAGGTGGGTGGAGCTTTAGCTGTTTCGTGGGGGGGGTGTGTTTACAGGTGCATGTTCGTGGGGGTTTTCCTTTGGGATCTTGTCAGGCCCAATCCCTTCGTTTATCAGATGAGGAAACGAGGCCTAGCGCCAGGAAGAGATTTTCCAAGACCCTGCAGTGCAGTGGTTGCTCCCTGGTGCCTCTCCAGGCAGAGCTGGCCCCAGGAGTGGGGGGGAAGGGGGCTGTGATGCAGGCTGTGCACCCCATCTTCCCTGTGCTGCCCCCGATTCCCAGTCCTCCTTAGCTGGTAGGCAGGTGGGTGAGACTGGGATGAGAGTCTGGCGAACAAAGGCAGCGGAGCCCCCACCTCAGCCTGGGGTTGGGTTGAGGGACCACGGCCAGTGCTGCCGGACTCCGCGGAGAGGCAAGCTTGCCGAGGGTGGGCCGGGGCCTCCCAGACCCTGACCGCTGACCTGGCCATGCATGGACATCTGCTCTGCAGGTTGCACTTCCCTCAGCTGGCCCTGAGGCGGAGGCTGGGACAGTTGAGCTGTATGTCCAGACCCGCCCTGAAACTGCGCTCCTGGCCCCTGACGGTCCTCTACTACCTCCTGCCCTTCGGTGCCCTCAGACCGCTCAGCCGGGTGGGATGGAGGCCCGTGAGCAGGGTAAGTGTGCACAGGCTGCTGGCCCGGCTCCCCTCCACACCCAAGGGCGGGCCTAAGGTTGGGATCCCGGACACAGAATGGAGGAGACAGTTGTTCGATTAGAGCTGATGGTGTGGGTGCTGAGCCCTTGGGATGGTCATTTTGACAGGCAAGCTGGTTGGGAAGGCCAGGCTGGTTGGTGGCCCTGAGGGCTTGCTGTACGCTGCCTCTTCTCCTTGCCTGCATTCGTGCCCTTTGGGGGCTCTGCTTCTGGAAGGAACCCACACTGGGCATTCAGAAAATGTGTCTGATTTCCTGTGTTAGGGCAGAAGAGAGCTCAGAGGTGATTTTGAGAAGAATGCAAATTAATTCCTGGATGCCAGAGGGTGATTCAGGAAGCCTGGTGCCTGTTTGGGCCCCTTAGGGTGTTTCTGGACTTGGTAGCCCCAGGCAGGGCTGGGTGAGGGAGCAACCTGGCCGCAGCCCTGAGGGCTGCCCGGCTCCCTGGCCCTGGGTCTCTGGGCAGGCTGACCCCAAGCAGGGAACCCTGGGCTCTGATGGGCGTCAGCTAGAAGAGTTTGGGGCGCCACTGACTGAGTACACCGTAGAGGTGTTTAAACTTGGAATGAAATTGCCTTTACACCCTGGGGACTTGGTGTCTGGGTCAGGCTGACAGGCCCCAGCTGCCGGTTAGAGGCAGGTCCTGCTGTGGCGGCAGCACCTGAGGCTTGCGAGGCGTCCCCTTCCAGGTCGCCTGGCCCCGAGAGTTTGGCTGGGGGAGGCCCGGCGGGCGGGCTCTGGTGACCGTGGTTCAGCGCATCTGGTGTGGGGGTGCCCTCTGCTTCCTGGTCGGACCGGATGCGCGCTTTGGGCTGTAGAGTCCCGCGCGCGCCGGGGCCCCCGGCCCTTCCTGCCGCAGCCTCTCCGTGCAGGTGGCAGAGCCGGGCACGCACCGCCTTTCCTAAAGAAGGACCGCGCTGGCCGGCCTCCCCTTGGGGACGGTGCGCAAAGTGCGTAGGGACTGACGCCCCTGAGTTTAAGTCACTGTGTCGGTCTCGGCCAGTACTCGGTTTGTGAGAGTGGGAAGCTCAGTCTGGTTCCTGGTGGGCAACAGCCACATCACAAAGCCGTGGCGGGGTGCCCCGGTCTCTGGGGCCGGGGGTGGGGGGGGCGCTGGGGGGCACGCGGGGCCGTCGCGCATCTGCCTGCCTGTGGCCCGCAGGTGGCCCTGTACAAGTCGGTGCCCACGCGCCTGCTGTCGCGGGCCTGGGGCCGCCTCAACCAGGTGGAGCTGCCGCACTGGCTGCGCCGGCCGGTCTACAGCCTGTACATCTGGACGTTCGGCGTGAACATGAAGGAGGCCGCCGTGGAGGACCTGCACCACTACCGCAACCTCAGCGAGTTCTTCCGGCGCAAGCTGAAGCCGCAGGCCCGGCCCGTCTGTGGCTTGCACAGCGTGGTGAGGCCCGGCCCCGCCCCGCCCCCCCAGAGATGGGATTCTTGCCCCTGCCTTCGACATCCGGTCCCTGCCGTCTCTGCAGGTGGCCCGTGGGTTCTCCTCCCAGGCTGGGCCCCGGGGAGGCAGAGAGCCTGCCTCCCTAGTAGCAAGACTTTCTCGGCCCTTCCAGATCAGCCCGTCAGACGGGAAGATCCTGAACTTCGGGCAGGTGAAGAACTGTGAGGTGGAGCAGGTGAAGGGGGTCACCTACTCGCTGGAGTCGTTCCTGGGTCCGCGCACCTCCACGGATGACCTGCCCTTCCCGCCAGGTGGGTCATTGCCTGGTGGCAGCCTTGCGTGGCTGGGCTGGTCCTCACCCAGGAGGACGGGAATGCGTCGGGAGGGAAGGGCCAGCGATTGCTGCGCGGAGCTTTGGGGCCTCCCTGAGGACTCAGGTGCTTGTCTGAGAGCCGGGCCCTCGTGTCTGTCTCCCGCAGCCACCCCCTGCGGCTCCTTCAGGAACCAGCTGGTCACTCGAGAAGGGAACGAGCTCTACCACTGTGTCATCTACCTGGCCCCCGGGGACTACCACTGCTTCCACTCCCCCACTGACTGGACCGTTTCCCACCGGCGCCATTTCCCAGGTTGGCCCAGAGCCTCACGCCTTTTTTGGTGTCGAGGGACCGAGGCTCCACACTTGGGGTGCTGAGACTGGGAGGTGACTGCTTTAGTCTGGCTGGGTGGGGGCGGCAGGGGGCAGCCTGGGGCCTAGCCCACTCAGCATTTGGAAGGAGATGGGTGGACGTGGGGCTCTGGGAGGCTGGTCTTCTTGCCGGGTGTGGAATGGCAGTGTCCCTGCCCCCGCAGGCTCCCTGATGTCCGTGAACCCCGGCATGGCCCGCTGGATCAAAGAGCTCTTCTGCCACAACGAGCGGGTGGTCCTCACTGGGGACTGGAAACATGGCTTCTTCTCACTGACGGCTGTGGGGGCCACCAACGTGGGCTCCATACGCATCTACTTTGACCGGGTAAGCAGAGCCAGGCCCAAGGGCTGGGCCGCTTGGGGTCCCCCCAACCCCTTCTCCCGTGGAGCCAGGTCCGTTGGGACCGTAAGTTCTAGAAGGGCATGTCCCCGGCCTGGCCCTGTGGAGCAGCTGCCCCGAGGAGGGGCTGGGCCCTGGGCTCCTGCTCTGCCAGCTCCGGCCCCAGATGTGCTGTCGCTTGCTCATCTGGAGATGGCTGGACAGGGAGGGGGTTCACCTCCCAGCCTGCACTTTGCTTCTGCTGGGAACCCAAGGGGAGTATGGAGCTCAGGGTGGACCATGCTGATTGGAAGCCGAGTGTCTGAGGGGGTACCTAGTGCCCCCCCTTCCCCGAGAAGTGGGGGGCGGGGCTGCCTTTCCTTGTGTCAGCTTGTGGCTGCCCCTCGCCTGCTCGGGGTGCTGGAGAAGAGTGGGGTCTGATTCCTCTATGTCCCCCCCCCCCCCGGGTCCCGGTTCACAGCTGCTATTGGGGACTGTTTGGTTAGGCTTATGGGCCGAGTTGCTGTCCCCAGCTCCCTTTCCAGGCTGGGTTGGGGACGGGGGGACAGGCAGCAGAGAGGCATTCTGGGTCCAGGAGCAGACGCCACACGCTCTGCCCTGGGCCTCCTGCAGGACCTGCACACGAACAGCCCGCGTTACAGCAAGGGCTCCTACAATGACTTCAGCTTCGTGACACACGCCAACAAGGAGGGCATCCCCATGCGCAAGGGCGAGCACCTGGGCGAGTTCAACCTGGGCTCCACCATCGTGCTCATCTTTGAGGCCCCCAAGGACTTCAACTTCAAGCTGAAAGCGGGACAGAAGATCCGGTTCGGAGAGGCTCTGGGCTCCCTCTAGAGCATCCTTCTTGGCGGCTGAGGAAAGCTACTGAGGGAGCTTTCTAAAGAGAAACGGGAGGGTCTTTTACGGGGAGCCTCCACGGCTGTCTGGGGCGGGGACAGTCTCAGGGCTACGGGGCCCGGCCATGCGGGACCTGGCTGACTAGTTCCTGCCGTTCTGAGGTGTGGGTGAGGTCAGAGCCCCTGTCGGCCCTGGACCTACGTCGTCCCTCTTCCCACCCTCAAGAGAAAGAACAGTTGCAGGCCAAGATGATCTCAAATTCCCTTTTGGAGATTTTTTTAACCTACTGTATAAACTGGAGACCCTACATCTCCTGGCTGGGTGTTCAGTTGGTCTTGATTTCTGTTGTAAGACAGAAGTGGTTATATACGTTCTTGCTGCTCTCATCATTGCTTTTCAGCCTCCCCTCTGCCTCCCCTGCACTGACTGGGCTGTGCTGCCCCCAGAGCAGCGCCATGTGGCCTTTAACACAATGGCTTTCTGTTCCCAGTTCACCCCACCCTGCTTGTTTGGGAAAAGCCGTCTCCTTGCACTTGTGGCTGAACACCTCCTCCTTGACTCCGCCAGCATCACACGAGGGGGACTGATGGCATGGCGTTTGACCGGCCCTAGTGAGTGAACTTGCAGAGCTGGCGAGTCCTCTTTCCAGTAGGCAAGACCAATTATTGAACCCCCCGCCCCCCCCGCAGTGGTGTCCAGAGTGAATGGACAGGCAGGTAGTGGCGGCCAGGGAGGGCCAGGGGAGAGCTCGTTCCACCCCCCCCCCCATATCCAGACCCATAGAAACATGGTAAGTTGCTGCTATTGATTGAGGGGTTTGTGTTGGAGGCAGAGGAAGGAGCCTTGGTGTATTGGGAGGGGGGCGGATCAGTGCCTACAACACCTTTCCCCAGGTAACAGGTACACGGTCCTTAGGGAGCCGCGGATGGTGGGGGCCAGGGTTCAGGTTTCCCGGGGATGCTGTGAATTTCTCCTGCAGGAGAAGCCATTTGAACTCTTTCAACTGTATCAGTAGCACAGTATTTTTGTATGAAAAGTGGGAGACTTCTGACCAGTAACTCATTTAATTGCAACATTTTGAAATAAAAAATAAAACTCATTGCAGCTTTGCGTTCTGTTCCTGGAGGTGGGCTGAGGCCTCCCCGGGCCAGTGACTAGCACAGAGCCTGCCGCAGGGCCTGGACGCGCGCGATGCAGGCGCTGACGGGCTGGCGTTGGGCCTGGAGCTCAGAGGCCAGCCGCTGGATCTGCCGCTCCACCTGGGGGATGGGAAGGGGAGGCTGAGTGGAGCCCCAGGGCCGGGAGGGCCAGGGTGGGAAGCCCTTCGAGGTCTGCCTGGGGCCTCACCTCCTGTAGTTCTTCCTGCACCTGCCGCTCTGCTTCCTGGTCCTCCGGCCTGGGCTCCTCGTGGCTCAGCTCCAGCCACCGGCGCAGGCTTCTTGCTTGCCGCTGGCAGGACCTGCCCGAGGGAGACAGCTGCTGCCAACCTGGCTGGGCCCTTGGCTGCGCCTCCAGGTGGGGAAGTAGCGCATCTACTTTGCAGTGGGGGAGAGGGCGATTCTGTTCCGCTGCAGGCCTCCACCACCCAGCTCCGCAGGCACCGTGGGTGGGCCTCAGGACACCCCCTCCCCAGCCCGCCCCAAGGACCCTGGCAGCCCACTCCAGAGAAATAGCTGGGGTTTTTCTGGGTCTTACGAGAGGTTCTGCTTCATGGTCTGATAGTCCTGCAGTTGCTGCTGGATGCCCTCCAGCTCAGCCTCCAGGTCCGTGGGGCCCTTGGTGACAGAACAAGCTGGATCTCGACCACGGTCCCGGCTAGGCCAAGGCTGAATGGAGGGATCCCAGGCATCGGGACCGGCCCGGGCACCCTTGGTGCTGACAGGCTTCAGCTGCGCACCCGCGCTTGCAGAGCCAGGCCCGCCGATGCCTGTGAAGTCCCCAGGAAGCAGCAGGCCAGAGTGAGGGACACTGGCTGGGGATGGCGAGGCCTGGGCTGTGAGCCCAGGGGTGGTGGGCTGTGCAGACGCCTGTGAAGGAAAGATGGATGAGCACAGAAGCAGGGAGGAAGGCTGGGGGAGAGGCACCCAGGCTGCCCACCGACCAGCTCACCCAGTCCAGGCCTGGCCCTGCCCCTTTCTTCAGACCTGACATGAGAAAGTCCCGTAGGCAGCCCAAGAACACCCCACACCCGTGCAGTCCAGTCGCATCCCTGCCCCAGGGCCTGGCTCGGCACCGGCCCCGCTCTGAGCTGGGCCCCTGCACTTCAGCGAGGAAAAGTGGTCCAGGGCAACTGTCCTGGGCAGACACATCTACAACCCTCCATTCCCTTCTGGTGACCATGCCCCCTGGTAACCATTGACCAGCTCTCTGTGGGCATCAACTCTTGGGGGGCCCAACCCTGCCGCTGTTTCCTCTATTACTGAGCACTCGTGCCTTCTTGCACCCCCTTGCCATCTGTACCCAGACTCCATCTTGCTGTCCCATGCCCCGGGGAGCCACCGCCCCCTTCCTCCCAGGAGCCATTCTCTTCGGTTCCCAGGGGTTTACCTTCAACAACTACATTTCAGACTCTCAGTTTTGCTCTCCAGCCCTGACCTCCTCCCCGAAGGCCACACTCAGAATCTTGTTGCTTTATCCCAAATTGGACAGGTTCAAGACAGACTCTTCAGGCTTTACCCCAGACATGCCTCTCCCCCCACCCCCGTTTTCCCTCTTTCAGTAGAACTCATTATTCCTGGAGTTATTCAAGCCAGAAACCCAAGAGCCATCCTGGATTCCTTCCTCACCCTTATCAAACCCATCGGCGCAGGTCCTGCCTAGTCTGCCTCCCACTGGGGGCTCTGCCCACAGCCCAGCCACACCTAATCCTGGCTCCCGGCACCTTCTGCTGGCCCATGGGATCACAGCTGCCAACCGGCCCCCACCACTTTCTACTTAAAATCCAGATGCTTCCCCTGGGCCTGCAGGACCCTCCATGATCTGCAGTGTCTTCATCTATGTCCGGGGCTCTTCTTCGGTCTCCACCTCTGGGACATAAGCTTCACAAGCCGGGGCCTCAGCAGCCTTTCCCTACTGTGTCCCGAGGACAGGGGCGCCTACACTTGGTGAAGGCATGAGCGGCCTCCCTGCACCTTCCCGAGCCGGCAGTGCTCTGGAAGCAGCGAGTACCGCTGTGGTTACAGCACCGAGTGCGTGAGGAACAGCACCGAAGGCCAGGCCGAAGAATGTGACCCCAGGTGACCAGGAGGACTTACCCTGGCAGGTGCTTGCACCCCACGTGGCATGAAGGACGAAGGGGGCAGCAGCTCTGGGCCTGTACTCAACGTGGGGGGCAGCCTCGGGCCAGGGTGACCCGGCAGGGCCCCGGGCTGGGGCAGGGGGCTGCTTGGGACCAGTGCTGTCCAGGCCACTGGCAGGCAAGGCCTCGTCAGGGCAGGGCCTGCGGGCTGGGCCACACCTGGGTCGCACGCCCTCGGTGCCTCAGGCCTAAGCAGAGGGACAGCAGGAGCTGGTCAGGCCATGGCACCCGCCTGAGGAGCAGGAAGGAAAGGAGGCCACCCACCCTAGGACCACACAGCATACCCTTTGCCCCCGAGGGTGCCACACCCCAGGGGCCTCTGGCTCGGCACCGGCTCCAGCAGGAAATGTGGGCGTCGAGGCTGCTTTCTTGCCAAGCGGGCAGCATTGCTGGGAAGAAACACAGGCCTGTTCCTCTCGGCCGCCTGGGGCATCCAGTCCGACCCCCTCCAATCTTACAGGGAAACGGGGGGCCAGAGAAGGAAAGGCCCTGGCCCAAGGTCAGCAGGCGAGCTGGAGTGGGCCTGGGCCACAGAGTACTTCCCGTAATTCCAATGAAGTGAGCCCGATGCCATGGGGATGCCTCGCCCGCCTCATTTCATCTGACCTCTGCAGCCACCCAGTGACACGGATGCTCCTCCCACATCAGAGGGGGAGCGGGCTCGTCGGGGTCAGGCCCTGTCGGGGTCCGGCAGCAAGGGAAGCGGAGCGGACTGAGGCCCAGGCCAGTCCCCCACCCCAGTGGTGACCTCTCCACCAGGCTCAGGCAGTGCTGGTCACTCTGGGAGCCGACAGCTGCATCAGCTGGCTCTGCGGGGACGAGCCAGGTCACAAACAGCGGGGCCTCCTAGAGGAAGCCCATTTCCTGGCTGGAAGGGGAGAAGCAGGGAGACTGGCAGGTCTGGGGGCATGAGGGTGGGGCTGCCCTACAGCCGATTCCTTTTTTTAAAACTACATGTTCTCTCCCCCACGTGCTGCAGGAACAGAGGCTGAGGTCCCTTCAGTTGGGCTTGATGGAATGGGAGAGTCAGGGTCCTGCTGGAGAAAGGGGTCCACGCCGCTCAGCTGTGACCCTCCCTCCTCGTGTAGTCCAAGTTTTTGCTCCAAGCAAGAAGCAAGGAGAAGAGGCGAGGGATGGGCTACTCACAGCTCTAGGAGGTGGGGGTCCCCAGCAGCCAGAGACAGGCTGCCCAGAGCTCCTCGGGGCCCATGAGGATCTCGTGGCTTCCTGGTCTCCAGGGCGGCATCCCCAGCCCCAGCCGCGACACAGGTGGAAAGGGGTCTGTCAAATGTCACTCTCCTGCTGGGCATGGTGCACGTGAGGGTCCGAGGCTCCCTGCCCTGGCCCAGAACCTTCTGTTTCCAGAGCATGGCACAGTGATGGACCGCACGGTGGAGACTGTGAGCTGCCTGCAACAGGCCTCTGGTCAGGTCCTGCCGTGTCCTACCCACTCCCCCGCGAGAAGGGGTGGGGGACCCCTCACCTGCACCTGCTGTTGGGCATGCAGCTGCTGCCGGAAGGCCTTCATGCCGGCTGCGAACCGCAAGAGGTGTGTGGCGCCCTCCTGGAGAAGCTGCCGGTGGTAGGCCTGTACGGCCCGCCCCTGACGCGCCTTCTTTCTCCTCCTTTCCAGCACAAAGCCCAGCCACGCGGCCCACACCTCCAGGGCGAGGAGGAGATGAGGCCCAGCTCTCCCTGCTTAAGCCTCCCCCCCGCCCAGGGCTGGCCCCACGGCCCAGCCTGCCGTCCACCGAAGCGAGGTCCTCTCCTGGGAGAGGCAGGGAGAGCAGCGGGGGAGCCCCCGTTACCTTTGCCTGTAGTGAGAAGGACCAGAACCACAGGGCCCGGGCTGTGCCCTGCTGCTCGCGCCTCCTGTTCGCCAGCTATGGGCCGGAGAGAGAAGATCATGGAAGTTTTGCCCTCAGGGAGGCCGCTCTGACCACGGGGTCCTGGTCACTCTGAGACCCTTTTCTAGCAAGGTGCTGCCCTCTCTCCACTGGGAAGGGCCCAGCGCTGCCTGGTCCTGAGGCGGTGGACCAAGGAGTGCGCCTCTGGGAAGAACAAAGGCAGAGCCCCGGGGACGGGAGCCAGCGGGGGCAGCGTGCTGGGCACGATGCAATCCGGCCTGGTGTTTTATCACGTCCTGGGCGAAGACTTAAAATGCATTCATATTAATTTTTGGATATTACCCTAAAGTATATTTTAATGTGACACTGTAGAAACAGGGCCCTGAAGTGCCTTGGGCTTGTACAGGTCACAGGTGGAAGAAACCGGGCAGTGCCGGGAAATGACCGGGGGGTTGGGGGAGCCCTGGGACGAGGGTGGAATTAAACATTTTAAATGTGGGGGCACCTGGTGGCTCAGTCAGTGGAGCATAAGACTCTTGATCTTGGGGCTGTGAGTTTGGGCCCCATGTTGCGTGTAAAGATTACATAAATAAAAATAATAAAAAAGTTAAATGTCGGTTCAGGAAGCAGTGGGAGGGGAAGGGGCTTCTCGCTGGCTCCCACCTGTTGTTTCCACTGGTGGAAGCAGGCCCGGCTGCGGGTCTGGGCCAGGAGCTGGGCACCCCGCCTTTGCAGGAGCTGGGGAGAGAGCAGCTAAAAGCAGTCAGGGCCCCGTGTGCCAATCACCTGGGTGCAGCCTCGGCGTGAGAGGCTCCGGGCCCAAGAGAACTGTCCTCCCATCCCCACGAGGAGTCTTGGACGAAGCCAGGGCCTCCTGTATGAGCATCGAGGTGACTCTGGAGGCCCCCCAGCTCTGACACCCCATGCTTCAGGATGAGCCAGGTTTCTCTACTTGGCCATCTTTTGCCTGGAGGAGACCCGACGCAGAGGCTGGCTTCCCTCAGCCTTCCCAGAAAGGCCCCTGCAGCCTTGTACCCGCAGGACCCCAACCACCCAGCATCCTGGCGGTCGTGGGTTTTGCCAGAGAGCCCTCCTCTTCCCCAGGTGGTGGTCTCCTGCCTGGGAGCCGCCGCCTGCCTCACCCGCTTCCTGACACAGCCCAGATGGTGCGCCTTCCACCGGGCCATGGCCTGCCGCAGCCGCCACCGGCCGTGATGCGCAGCCGCCCTCCTGAGTTGGGCTCTCTGCTGGGCCGCCCTCTGGCCTCGGTCCCGCCAGCGCCGAAACCACGTCCTGAGACAGCCTAAGGCAGATCCAAGTCAGAGGTCGCTCTTATGGGAGGGTTTCTCCGAATCAGTCTGCAATGGTCAAGGTTCGGAGAGCTGAAAAGGTCATGTGGGGGTAGAGCTGGGCTGTTAGCCCACACTCGGTGAAACAGCCACGTGGGGATGGTGGCCACTCTATGACATCAGCTCTGGCCACCTTCAGTGGCTGCGAGAACCCCGGGGGCCGGAACCTGGGCTGCTGTGCCCCCAAGGGTGGGCCAGAAGCACCAGGCTGTCCACGGTGGCCACGTGTCTGCAGCGCCCCCGTGGAGCGGCCCGCAGGATGCTGCCGGACACGCAGAGGAGGAGACCCTCTGTCCGAGGGAGTGGGGGGCCATGGCCCTATTTGGCCAGGGAGGAAACCAAGGCTCAGGGAGTCCAAGCAGCTCCAGCCAGGCCTGGGAGGAGGCACGCTGTCTGCTGGGCCGAGTCGGATATCCTGAGCTCTGCAGGCAGGCAGAGGCTACGGCATGCGTTTGTTTCTGTGTCACCAGATTCTCTCTTGAGGGAGAGCAAGCACTTTCTGCTCTTTTCCTTTTAGGTTTTTCCCTTTTCTTAAGCCCTGAGACAAGTTTCTTTTAGAGACAACAGAAGAGGGTTGGTACCAGGGCACTGATGCCAAGATGGGGTGTCCTCCGGGACCTGCTGGAGGGGGCAGGGAGGGCAGGTTTGCACGCCAGGAGGCGAAGCCTTAGGACCAAGTGCTGATGCTTCCTGGATACTGCTTCAAGTGGGTACCTCTCACTGGATCCTTACAACAACCCTTGGCAGGTACTATTATTCTCATTTTACAGATGGAGAAACTGAGGTTCAGAGAGGCCTTGCTGGGGCCGCACAGCCAGCATCTGACCCTGCCTGTAGGCTCTCTGTTGAATGTGTCTTACGACACGTCGCCCTGAGCTCGTCCTCCTCCAGCACCCACCCCCTCCCCTGGGCTGCCAAGGCGTGCCTGAGACTCGAGGCCTTAACTAAGCCCAGAAAGGGTTCCACAGGTACTGAGTGTGCATCTGCTATGTGCTGAGAACACAGTGTCTTGCCACTGGTCTCGCAAATCCTTTGTACCACCTGTACCGGACACAGCAATCCCAGGGCCGCCTTCTACGGAAGGCTGCCTGCCCCTCGGTCCTGCAGACAGCAGCAGCTCCAGGCTGCACCCCATGCCTGTCACCTCTAGCACCCGCTGTGGCCACCTGACCCCCCACTGGCAAGGCCTCTGCAGTGCCGGATGCCAAAGCTCTGTCCACACAGGCCACGGAATGGGCTGAACCCCTCAGCTTCTCTCTTGGGAGTGACCTGGAAACACAGCACTGGTTTCTGGGGTGAGGGGCAGCTTGAGGACACAGAGAAGCCCATTAGAGGTGGAGTAAGTGTGGGATGTTTGACCCCACGGTTCTGTCTAAAGGAAAGCAGAGATGTGTGTTTATCCACATAAAACACTACAGTCAGAACCAAACCTAAGCTGATCATTTTCTGTCCTGAAGCAAACTAACAACTTGATCTGTTTTCCCTATGGTCCGATTTAAACCATTCCTGTTTGTTTTCATTTCCGGTTGTATTTTCATTTATTCTAACCGCTGGCTGTCCCCTCATATCCCTACTACAGGGCCATGAGTCTCAGTTTCCCTGCATCTCATCTCTGCTCCTGTCTGGACAGTCTTCCCCAGGCTGTTTGTATAGCAGGGAGTCAGGCTGTCCAAGGCCACTGCTCCCTGAACACACAAGGGCCCGCTACACAAGGGGGCGGACACCCCCCCAACCTTGACTCCTTCGTAAGAATCAGATATTAAGCCTCGGTCTTGCATTTGGACATCAACTGGTTGGCACCTGGCTGGGAAGAGAATGCTGTGATGTGCTGGGTTGAATGGTTACCCCTCCCAAACCCGGAACCTCATCCTGAACCTCAGAACTGTATTCGGCGAGACGGTCAGTGCAATCAGCTGACACCATCCTGGGGGAGGACTGGCGGCCTTCTAAGAGAGACGCAGATGCAGGGAAGACAGCCCTGTGCCCACAGAGGCCAAGGCTGGAGGGATGGGTCTGCAAGCCAAGCAACACCAAGGACTGCCAGGGCTGTCAGGGGCTGGAAAAAGGCAAGGAAGGATTCTCCCCTCCAGCCCTCACAGGAATCATGGCCCTGCCGACACCCTGGTTTCGGACGTGGCCTCAGAACGCCGAGAGAACAATTTTCTGCTGGTGGAAACCTCCCAGTTCGCGACACTGTTATTTAGCCACAGGAAACTCACACGTGTGAGAAGAATACAAAGACCGAGGTGGAGCAGATGGAACACAAGACAGTTCTGTGTCCTTCACAGCCCTCTTCCCGGCTGCCAGGAAGTCCGCTTACCCTTATCCAGCACCTTCCGGGCCTCCTTGATGGCACAGTCCTCCTGCTGTCGGTAATATATCTGCACAGATGCAGCCTCCCGCCACTGCACCAGGACCTGAGGGGCAGAGGAAGAGCACATCCTGACTTCCCGGGACGCCCAGCTCTGCGGGCGGCTCCTCACGGAACAAGGCCAAGCGGGGACACGGCACTCACACACATTCCGGAAAACGCCGGCCAGTCGTGCAGACCCCAGGCCGCGGACCCAGCCCCCGGTCCCCACAGGAGGCCCAGTACTGCAGGTGATGGACTGTTCTATAGAAGCAGTTAAACTTCCAAGCACGCCATCAAGAAGTCAAGGCATCACATGGGCTTTTGTTCTATTACGTGTTAAACGAAGCTATACGTTACACGCCTGCAGCCTTTCAAACTGAGACACACACGAAATCACACCAACAGAACACTTTAAAAAGAAGTCAAGCAGGGCGCCTGGGTGGCTCAGTTGGTTGGGCGACTGCCTTCGGCTCAGGTCATGATCCCGGGGTCCTGGGATCGAGTCCCACATCGGGCTCCCGGCTCAGCGGGGAGCCTGCTTCTCCCTCTGACCCTCTCCTCTCTCATGCTGTTTCTCTCTCACTCGCTCTCCAATAAATAAATAAATAAAATCTTTAAAAAAAAAAAAAGAAGTCAAGCAGCCGGGGTTGCTGCTCCCCGGCTCCTGAGGCACAAACTCCATTCCCTGCAAAAAAAAGACTTCCCTTCCGAGCCCTGAGGCCAAGCAGAGTCCCGACCCTCCTTCTAGGGCTGGCCCCGGAGCTTTTCCGACAACAGACTAGGCCTTGATTTGAAGTCATGGCTCCTCAACCTCGGGAGGCTTCCGGGTTGTCAGGACCAGTCTCCCCTGGCCTTCCAGCAGGAGAACCGCTGCTGTTCAGAGCTCCCGGCATGATGCTTTTTTCTAAAACAGCCCCCGGTGCAGGGACCACTTCTGTCCCTTCATTTCTGAGTCCCCCCTGGTGTGTAACACCCCTTCCTCCCACAGTCGTGTGCTGGCATGCCCCCCCCTCCCCGGCGCATAGGACAGGCGCCACCACGCGGCCTTTGGGGGCCACTTCCCACAGATGATGACCAACAATCTCGTGTTCCTGGAGTCCGCGAGCAGGAGTGCGCATCCTCTGACAGATGAAGAGACGGAGGGCATGCTGACTTAGTTTGTCCCAGTGGGAAATTCCGCATGTGTAGCAAATACTGGTTCTGATAAGAACCAGTCTGCTCACTGTGTTTTTGTTTTGATGGATATTAGTGCATAATCCAGTAAAAAAATAAATAAAACCCGACTAGCTCACACGGCTGTTATGTGTGCATGGAGGATGGTGAGTGAGCCCACGCCCTGGGTTCCTCGTTCAGTGCCTAGCTTTGGGGCCACCCCCTCGCAGCAGCAAGGTCCCAAGCCCTCCTGGGCGACCAGCTAGTCTCCGCATGCCTCACCTTGGAACACAAGGTTCGCCGGTAGTGAGCGCTTGCTCGGGAGGTTTGCTGGGCTTCAGTCACAAGGGCCAGGGTGTTCTCTCTCCAGCGACGGAACACACACCTGCGGGAACACAGGCCGGGGAGATGGGGTGACACTAGTGCGGAGAGATGGGGAGGTTTCTGTGAGTCATTCCTGCTTCTTCAGCCCACTAGTGCCTCAATCGAGGATGGACTCTCGTACCTGAGAACATCAGTCTCACCAAGAGCCACGTGTATGCCGACACAAACACACGGCTGGTGAACACCCGCTCTGTGCCAGGCCCTGGGGGAGCACCGGGGGCACCACGGTGAACAAGGCCAAATACCACGTCCTCGCTCACGTACATGACACACAGCGGTGACCAGGTAGTGACGGTAGAGGCAAGTCATGCCGCAGTAGGGCAGAGGGAGACGGGAGGTGGCAGAGGGCCACCGGAGGCCCAGCACCATGCTTGCTGCTGAGTTAGTTCCGTCACTCTGTCTTACTCCCAATGTCTGAGGAGCTGGATGGGCACTTCCCCGAAGGAGGGTGGAGGTGTTAAGTCCACAAGGCCCACCACCCACAGGCAGCCTGGAATACCATGTGCTGAACAAATCCGGAGCGGGGGAAAGAGTGGAATGAGGGAGGCCTGCCGGGAAGGAGAGAGTGAGAGCTTGGTTTAGCAGGACCTAGAGGACGGGCTCCTGCTGGAGCTGGAGCTGAGAGCGCGAGTGACCTCCAAGGCTGGGAGAGATGCCTCTGGAATCCGTGAAACGCCTGGAGGGCCAAGCCGGGAGGCACCTGAGTGGGCGCTGAGGCCAAGGGAGTCCCTGCAGCTCTGGAGCGGGAGACACTGAATCGTGCACGGGACCGCACAGTGTGGAGAGGAGCAGGACAAGGGGGAGCTCACGCACATGTCTGGGTGACAGCTGCCTCCGCAAGGCCCCAGTCTGCACGCAGCAGCTTCGAGACACGCGGTGACCCGATGAACGGAGTGCCTGCTGTGCAAAAGCCCCAGCCAGGCTGCGAGCAGCAGGAGGAGCCTGGCCCGCCCGCCTTCTGGCCCTGGTCGGGACGCCCGGCCCTGCCTGGGTCTGGACGGAGCGCCCCGTTCCTCAGGCAGGGCCCGGAGACGCGGGGGACTCACCGAAGCAGCCGCCTCGCCTGCTGCCTCTCCCTGGCCGCCACCTCCTGGAGGACGCTCCGCACGCGGCTCTGGTACGTCTGCGGGAGAGCGAGAGGACTGGCGGCCTGGCCGGCCCGGCCCGCGTCCCTCCGCAGTCCCGGGCCCGCCGCGCTCACCCCGGAGCGCGCCGAGTCCCACGGCCAGAAGAGCACCCGGACAACAGGGAGGGGACGCTCGCTAAGTCCTCACTCATAAGTCAAGCCACTGGGCTCCTGCACAAGCGGCCGCTTCGATGCGGAGGCTGGTGCCCCCAGACTCTTTTTTGCTGTGCCGAGCAAGGATACAGGGGCTTGGTCCCGTGGCCGTGAGACCCGCTGTCCGGGGCACGCGCTCTGGGAGGTGCAGGAGAACAAGGGAGGGACACAAAATCCACCCCCCGCAGCCCCGCCCGAGGCCAGCAGCCGCCCCTACCGCCCAGGTGCGCAGCGCCCCGCGCAGCAAGGTGCGCCGGTGATGCAGGCGGGCGCGCGTCAGCTTCCGCCGCTCGGCAGCGCGCAGGGCCAGGCCCTGCGGACAGAGGGAGGGCCGGGGCCGGGCGGGGCTCAGCCACGCCTCATCTTCCACCGTGGGGTCCTCGCCCCCCACCCCCAGGCCTCAACTAGCAATAGGTATCTCTCAGGGGTTTTGTGGGGTTCCGATGGGGCAAGTGCCTGACTTAGGGTAAATGCTGAAGCATTTTTACCCAGAGGAGAGTGCCTGCGAATGGTTAGGCCAGGACTTTCACGTTCAGTGAGTTCGGCCCAGCCTGTGTCCCAGGCTCAGAGGCAGGTGGCCGCCACCGGGCTGAAGCCAGGCCCACGTGTCTGCTCGGAGACAGCTGACACACAGCCCCACCTGTCCACAACCACGTGCCAAAGCCTTACCTCCTTCCACCTGTCCCAGGCCTGGCGCAGGAGCCGAGCGGCCTGGAACTCTGCAGCCAGCACCAGGCCGGTCTTCCTGCGGGGAGGGTTGGAGTCAGCACGCAGCCTGGACCCGGCCAGGGCCCTTTCCACGGGCACCCCTCACAGTCCCTGGCCCCTGCCTAGCTGCTCTGAATCTGGTGGGGAGGGAGGAATCAAGACCTTTTCTGGGGGCGCCTGGGTGGCTCAGCCGGTTAAGCGTCTGCCTTTGGCTCAAGGTCATGATCCTGGGGTCCCGGGATCCAGCCCTGGGTCGGGCTCCCTGCTTAGCTGGGGAGTCTGCGTCTCCCTCCCCCTCTGCCCCTGCTTGTGTGCTCACTCTCTCAAATAAATAAATAAAATCTTAAAAACAACAACAACAACAACAACAAAACCTCCTCTGAAGAGCTGCCAAAGTATTTGGGCTCTCCCCTCAGGAAAGTGAGCACCTAATTAAATTCTTGCAGCCAACCTGACAGGGCTCAAGTACACTGAAGTACATTCATGTGCTGGCGACTCAGGAGATTAAAGGTGGCCAGAATTTGCAAGTGGGGGTGATCCGCACAGCACACAGTGGATGCAGAAAGGCATGAAAGCAGGCCCGGGTCTGCAGTGTCCTTGTGGACGGCCTGCCCCGCCCTCTCTCCAACCACATGGTGGCAAAAACTGCCACAACCTGCCCCTGGGCCACAGCTGCTGGTCCCGGGGGCTCAGCAATCCTGACACGGGCTCATCAGTCTATCCCCTGGCCATGGTCCCTCTGAATGGGCCCCAGTGAGTGGGATGCATCCAATGGGTAGGACCTCAGATCCATGGAGCATGTCTGTCCCTAGTCGAGTTCCTGAGATCCTCTCACTACAGCCCCGCTTTGTTACAGACTGTATTAGGCAGAACTTCTGGAACTTAGAACCAGAGTCCAGGCTAACACGACCCTCCGACGGGCACTCAGAGCTGAGGGTGCTACCACTATGGTCAAAGCTGGCCCAAGAGGGGAAGAGCTTCTGGGGCAGAAGCAGCCCCTCACTCTGTCCTGAGGCCTCGGGCACTGTCCCTCCAGATGCAGAAAGCCCTCCTGAGCTGGCAGTGGTGGCGGTGGGCCCAGGCCGCTGCTGTCCACTGTCGCTCCTGGTGACGTGCTGCTGCCTGCTGGTGCCACGTGGACCAGGACCTCTGCAGGAGCTGCCGCTCTGAGTGAAGGATGGCCTGGGGCAGGATGGCGGGAAGAGAACAGAGTGGGTCAAGCAGCTGGGGGTACAGAAGCCGGGAAGAATCTCTGGCCACAAATACTGACCAAGGCAAAAGAAATGGGCATTATGGAGCCGCCCTCGCCCAGAAGCCATATGCAAACTCCACTGACAAAGGTAACAGATGCCCCAGGCCCTGCCCTGCATCGTGAGTCCTGGTCACAGGCAGGACGCCCTACAGTGTGGGTCTGGGCTCTGGGCGACGTCCCGAGCAGAGGCGGCAGTGAGTGCAAAGCTTGAAGCAGGTCCTGCCCGTTCCAAGCACCTCCTCAGGGACGGCCACTTACCATTCTCTCCGCCAAGCGGTTTTCTCGATGCTGAAACATTTTCTGCCACCAAATAGCAAATACTTGCTTCTCCAACGTCTCCCTAAAAAGATAAATAATAATAATGATAATAATGGGAAACAAGGCACTTAAAATAAAACAAAATCACTACAAAAAAGAATAAGAAGTCCCAAATATTTGGGTTTTTCCTCTTAGGCTATTAAGAGGTGGATATGTTGAGATGGGGAGAAAGGAAAGAGAAAGGGAAGGAAAGCAGACAGCAGTGGGCAAAAAACCCCACAAACAACCCAATACTCTTCAAGTTCTTTCCGGTGTCAGCCAAGCATTCACACAGTAAGAATGAGACTGACTTCGAGACCCTGGCTCTTCATCAGTTCAGTTCCGCACCGAATTACCAAGAGTGCTCAATGATCAGTAGTGAAAGCCTTTCTAGTCCGTGCTGACCGGCCAGGCTGCTGCTACCCAAATCCTTGGGGGGAGCGGTTAAAAACAGAGGCCACGTCTTCAGGGCTGACTGCGCAGGTCTGAAGTGGGCCCCAGGAAACAGTATTTAAAACAAGTGTTCCATGTGAGGTAGACAGGGAGACAGGTTTGAGAACCACTGTTCTGTCTCCTCTGCCTAGGCCTCCCTGCTCAGCATGATGACGGGAAGGCCTGCAAAGGCAGCGCTGGGACAACTGGTCAACAGCCACTAGGGGCTGTGAGTTGGCAAAACCACGGGACAAAATATATGCGGCAACTGTTTTCAGGCCCTGGACAAGAGGCAACACAGACTGTGACCCTCAGAGTTGAGAAACAAGTACAGTGAGCCCACTGAGGGCACGTGCTAAACACCCGGGGCAGGGGGACGGAGTCCAAGCAGAGCAGGACAGTCTCACTGAGTTGAGGCAGAGACTCAGGGATTCAAGACTGAGTCCTTCCCCTGAGTTCAAGACTGCAGGGGAAGGATGTATGGACACCTGTGGCCTTCCTGAACCTGGGCAGGTAGAGACCTCGCCCTGCCTCAGAGACATGCTCACATACACCTTGCACACTCTGCAAGGGCAGCACCCAAAATCCCGTGTCAGCCTGGTTGGCAGTACAGGCAGGCTCTGTGAGGCCTAGCAGAGTGGCCTCTTCAGGGTTGGCTGCTGGATGGAGATTACCAGAGGCTGGAAAGGGCTGGGAGATGGAGTTCTGGCCCAGTCTGAATGGAGAGACTTTGCTGAGAACCCCAGAATTCAGCAAGGCTGAGCCTCAGGAATAAGTGCCATGCCCTAACTCTGAAGACAAAAATCAAAAAAGACCCACACATGGAGTGCCCGGTAGAGCATGCACCCCATCTCAAGGTGCAACTCTTGATGTCAGTGTTGTAAGTTCAAGCACCGCACTGGGTGTAGAGATTATTTAAAAAATAAAATCTTAGGGGCACCTGGGTGGCTCAGTCGGTTAAGCATCTGCCTTTGGCTTGGGTCATGACCTCGGAGTCCCGGGATTGAGCCCTGCATAGGACTCCCTGATCAGCGGGGAGTCTGCTGCTCCCTCTGCCTCTCACCCCACTTGTGCTCTCTCTCTCAATAAATAATCTTAAAAAAAAAAATTAAATCTTAAAACACACACACACACAAAACCCACACAAAGGAAGAATAGAACCATACTCGATAGGATCAACAGGAATCACCAGAATAAACAGCAACCACTGCCTTACAGAATAAAATGCAAAACCCTTTAAAGGAAAAACAGCTGTCAACAAAAACAATGACCCAAATGCTGGAATCAGCAAACACTTAAAAACAGTTATTAAAGTTTGTGTACTTAAGTGAAGGATTAACAAAATTAGTTACCAGACACGGAATCCTGGCAGAGAAATAGAAACTATAAAAAAGAACCAAATGATTTGGTGGCTCCTCAAAAAGCAAACATAGAATTAGCATTTGATTCAGTAATTCCACTTCTAGGTATACAACCAAAAGAATTAAAAGCACAGACTCAAGCAGATGTATTTACATTGATGTTCACAGCAGCATTACTCACAGTAGCTAAAAGGTAGAAACAAGTGTCCATCAACATACAGATGAACAAATTGTGTATATCCATACAATGAAATATTATTCAGCCATAAAAAGGAATGAAATTCTGATACATGCTATGACATGGATAAACTTTGAAAACATTACGCTAAGTAAAATAAGCCAGGCACAAAAGGTCCAATATTACACAATTCCACATATATGAGATATCCAGAATAGGCAAATTCACAGACAGAAAGTAGCTCAGAGGTTCCCAGGGCTGGAAATAGATGGAAATGGAAAGTTAGTATTTAATGGATATAGAATTTGTTTGGGATGATGGAAAAGTTCTGGAAACGCATAGTGATACTTTATGCCACTGAACACACAATACACTTAAAAATGACTAAAATGGTAAGTTTTATGTTATGTATGTTTTACCACAATTGGGGAAAAAAAAAAAGAAAATTCTAGAACTGAAAAGCACCATACCTGAAGGAGAAAAATCACTGGATGAGTTACAAATAAGAAACTGCAGGATATAGATCACTGAAGACTTTCTATTGAAAGATCAATAGAAAGTATCCAATCTGAAAAACGGAAAGAAAAATAGAAAAAAACTAAACAAAGCCTCAGTGACCTGTGGGACAATATCACTGGTTTAACATAGTGTAATTAGAGTCTAAGAAGGAGAGAAGAGAGGATATAGGGCAGATAAGTTATTTTTTAGAGAGAGAGAGTGCGCGCATGCGTGTGCATGGGGGAGCGCAGATGAAGGGAGGCAGAGACAATCTTAAGCAGGCTCCATGTCCAGCATGGAGCCCGATATCATGACTCTGAGATCATGACCTGAGCCAAAATCAAGAGTAGGACACTTAACCAATTGAGCCACCCAGGCACCCCAGGGCAGATAAATTATTTAAAGAGATAATAACGGGGTGCCTGGGTGGCTCAGGAGGTTAAGCGGCTGCCTTCGGCTCAGGTCATGATCCCGGGGTCCTGGGATCGAGCCCCATGTCGGGCTCCTTCCTCAGCAGGGAGCCTGCTTCTCCCTCTCCCTCTGCCGCTCCCCCTGCTTGTGTGCACTTTCTCTCTCTCTTTCCCTCTCTGTCAAATAAATGTTTAAAAATAAGATAAAATAAAAATTAAAAAATACAAAATACAAAAGGTATAGAGTTAAAAAGTCAGTGGAGGATATGAAATGTAATACTAAAAAATTCTAAGTGAACAGGGCAGAAAAGGAGAAAGAGAGAAACAAAAATCAGATGTAGGCTTCTGCCCAACCACACCAACAACTACATTAAATATAAATGAACCACACACTCTAATTCAAAAGCAGAGATTATCAGGAATGCCTGGGTGGCGCAGTCAGTTGAGCATCTGACTCAGATTTGGCTTGGGTTGTGATCTTGGGTGTCGTGGGATCAGGCCCCGAGCTGGGTTCCACACTTGGTGTGGAGATTGCCTGGGAGACTCTCTCTCCCTCTCTCTCTCCCCCTTCCAACCCCTTCACGCTCACTTGCTCACTCTCTGTCTCTCAAATAAATCTTTAAAAAAAAAGTAGAGATTGTCAGACTAGATAAAAAATTAAGACATAGCTATATGCTGTTTATAAGAGGCAAGCTTTATTAAATATGAAGACAAATAGAGTGGGAAAGGTAAACCACATAAACTGTAAATACAGAAAAAGCTGGTGAGGATATTTTAATAAAAGTCAAAGTAGACTCTGAGAAACGAAATATTACCAAAAATAAGGAGGTTCATTTCAAAATGATAAAAAGGGACCATTCATGAGGAAAACATAACAATCCTAACTGTACACGGACCAAATAACAGATTCCAAACACATGAAGTAAAACCGATAGTATTACCAGGAAAAATAGATAAATCCATAATCATAGCTAGAGAATTTTAATACTTCTCTCTAGTAATTGATAGAACAAGCCCGCCTGTAAGGGGGGGTGCCTGGGTGGCTCAGTCGGTTGAGCATCTGCCTTCAGCTCAGGTCATGATCCTGGGTTCCTGGGACTGAGCCCCACATTGGGCTCCCTGCTCAGCGGGGAGCCTGCTTCCCCCTCTCCCCATCCCCCACCCCCCGCTTGCGCTCTCTCTTGCTATCTCTCTCTCAAATAAATAAATAAATAAATAGAATCTTTAAAAAACACACCTTGTCTGAGGAAAGCATCCACATCCTAGAGACTGACTGGAAAGCCAGGGCTTTGAGTGAACACACTAACCTCTGCCTCTACATTTCTCTTCCTGCCTGCTCCTACCTATACGTCTTGGGCCTGAGCCATGGCCTCCAGCCCAGCCATCCCACCTACAGACTGGCTGCCACCCACCGCCCATGTCCTTCTAGCCTGTCCATTTCTCCTGCCTAATGGAGTTTTGTGCAATTCGGAGTTTTTCCATGAACTGATCCTTGTATTGAAAGAGCCTTTAGGAGATTTATGTTAGAAACCAAGGACCTCCCTTCAGCTCTGAACAGGTTTTTCCTTCGATCCCAACACAAAGATTTATGGACCTTTCTAGTTGACTCAGATTTGTGGATGGCATCTCCCTTTCCTATTCTACATTCTTAGTCCTATGTTAGCTTTACATCTCAAATGGTGAAATGTAATCAGTCCAATAAAACACGAAATAACCATGAAAAAAACAACAATAACAACAAAAACCTGTAAAGATACAGAAAATTTGAAGATGACTACCAACCAACTTGTCCTAAAAGACATTTATAGAACATTATATCCAACAACTGTAGTATAAATATTCTTTTAAAGTGCACATGGGAAAAAATAAAGTGCACATGGAAGGTTCACCAAAATAGACCACATATATTTGGCTGAAAACAAGTCAACACATTTCAAAAACTGAAGTTATATAGGTGTTTTCTAGCCACAATGGAATTAAATTAGTAATTAAAAACAATAATGTATCAAGAAAATTCCTATTTGAACATCAAATAACATATTTCTAAATAAACCACAGGTCAAGGAAGAAGTCACAAGGCAAATTAGAATATATTTTTAGTTGAATGATAATATAAATACAGCATGTCAGAATTTGTGAGATAAAGCTAAAGCAGAGAGAAACC